TCAAAATAAAAACAAATAACAAACCTTATTTTTTTAACTTACCTTTTTAATTCAGATTCCAATGTCCGATTTGGGCATATAAACAAATGCCTAAATCCGGAAAGTGGTGAAACCGCAGCCAAAATAGATGCGGACTTCCACCGCCATTCTTTTTGCCGGGGACTGTATAAATGCAGAATGAAGCTAACAAAATAATTTAATTATATATAAATTTTCTATTATATAAAATGATATCCCAGCACAAATAAATGCTTACACTATAATACGTTCAATACTACTTTGACATTCAGGCATTAGGTAAGTACTTTCATAAAATAAATTGAGTTTCACTTGTTTTTATTTACTAATTTTCATTTTTTATCTGATGCAATAACAGATACTAACTCTTCAATATCATCAGCCCTTTTTTTAAGATATTCAAGTCTAACATCTTCTGATACTTTCAAACAAACATTAGTCAAATGTTCTTCAAAACTTGAAACAGTTGCAGTTGAAATTTTAAATTCACAGAAGTTACAAGCACCATTATAATAATCACCTGCTTTTTTTGCATAAGAAGTAAAGTGAGACCAAACTGGAAAGAACTTAGAGTCACATTTTTTGATTATAGGAGTAAGTTCTGTTGAAGAATTAGATGGTGTTGAGTGTTGAATATTCATAGTAAAGTTTATAATAATAAAAGAAGTTGTAAAATAAAACTATTGAAAATAATGCAACTTTCAATTACGATCAACATTTTAAAGTGAAAATAAGTTTCAACTTGTTCATATTTTCCCATATAAAAACTACAATTTATAACCTCAAAAAATAATAAAAAAATCAAAAAAAAATTTTATATAAAAATATTTTATCAGATAATTTTCCTGCTGATTTTATTAATTTTCTAAATTGATCTTCTAATTACATCATATATATGCAATATTAATAAATTACAAATAATGCAATTTATATGTATTATAAAATAATGTCATAAATACGAAATATATTTTAAATATAAATATGAAATAAATATAAAAAATAATTCACTAGAAACTAAATACGGGAAGCAACCTTACTATTATAAAAAATAAAAAATATCATTTTATTAAATTGAAAATTAACTAAAATTTAATTTAAGTTTTAGCTTTTTCTTCATCTGATTTGATAGTTAGAGGTATATTTCTATTATAAAAAGTAAAAAAAATCAGTTTATTATTTGAAAATTTAACTGTTTTATTGATAAAATTTAACTTAAATTCTTTTGTTCTTAAAACAATTTTTTTCAGCATTTTGGTGATATATAAAAAGAGAAAATTTGAAAATAATTGTAAAAAGATAAAGTTTGAGTTAAAATTATTTTTTAAAAAGTAAAAAAATTAAGCTTATTTATATAAATATTCCTATTTATACCAGAAATAAACTCAAATAGTATATTAAATTGATATCAATAAATCATCCTTTTAATTTAACAAGTTCTTCAAATATTTGATATTATTTTAGCAAATCAGTTTAATCTGAAAGTTTAGTTTATTGGAATAATAAAACCATCATTCCTAAGAAATGATAATAACATCATACCTAAGGAATGATAAAACTATTGTATCTAAGGAATGATAATACTATTATACCTAAGGAATGAAAAAAGTATTGTATTTAAAGAATAATAATATTATCATTCCTTAGGAATGATAATACCATCATACCATTATTTATTAAGAATAATAAAACTATCATACCTTAAAATAATACAATCATTTCAATCAGACGTTAATTAGCTATAAATAAGAAGGTCAAATTTTAGCCAATTTTTGATGTATACCAATCGACTATAAACATGCCAATCAGCTATAAATAAGATAGGTTGAACTTTAGCCAAATTTTAGCTGAGCTCATAACTAATCGACCTTTTCGTAAGTGTATCAGTAACTTATCCAAATGCCTCCTTATGTCCATCTAACTCTGCCTTGATGATGAATTGTTTTTTACGCCAATCTTGCCATTGAGGATAAATTTCAACAAAATGTTTTTTATATGCATCAACTTTTTCATGTAAATCTATGACCCATGTTTTATCCCAAACTTTATTCTCGATCCAAAATTTTTGCCTCTCTCTTAAAATAGAGAGATGAAGTATGGCAAATGTAATGCTGAAAGGAATTAAATGGACCGCGTTTGTATTATCGATAAGGTTCTTATAAAAGTAATTACACTGATCAACTAAATAATAAATGTAAATGTTACGTTTTATATTCTCAATATCATCTTTGTAAAACATTAAAGTTTGTGATAATCTTTTTAAATTGTTATTACGATTTTTTAATTCTTTTTCTATCTCTCCGGGTTTAAAAAGATTCTTAATATAATCAGAGATTATATCATCCCACGTTTTGACATGTTTTGTCGTTAGAGGAAAAAAAAAAAATTTGGAAATCAATTACTCGAGAGAAAGAAGTGCAAGATTATTTTAAACTACAAAAAACAAAAAAAAAAAAAATCCGGTTAAAAAAATTGTCCCATACCATAACAATTGAATAATTTAATATGAATGCGTTGTCGATCAATAATTTATATACAATTACAATATTTGATAAGCCAAGAATCAGCCTCTAATCCAAAGTAGTTTAGCTACAAATTCATTTTTTTGAAAAACAATAAATGATCTATAATTTCACGTGACTACATGCTGTGTCACGCGTACCTTTACCTTATTATTATTTGCCGGAGTTGTAAATCCGAAATAATGCATAAAATGCATAATAAATTTCAATGTAACATTTATCACTACTTTCTCTCTCATAAAAACATAAAAAATGAAAACAAAAGATTCGATAGATGGTGCTTCGGAATTCATATCAGGGGGGGTTGCATTTGCTGAGAATTTAAATTCAATAGGGTCATCAAGTACGGGTACAGCAAAGCAAGTATTGGGAGTAGTTGGAGCAGCCGGAGATGCAATAAAACCATTTGTACCATTAATAGCGATTGTAACAGTAGTTATAAACGAATGTGTACAAATATATGAAGATGCACAGTATAACAAAAAAATTTGCAATTCACTGATGGATAGAGTCGAAACAGCTGATCTCGCTATCAAAACCTTGAAAAGGCGTAAACAAGAAAATGAAACTAATTTTCGTAAACAAGATTACTATAAAGCATTTTTACGCTTTGTTGATGTTATGAAGAAAATTAAATCATTCATTTTAGATGTATCACAAATTCAAGGTTTCAAGAAATATGCTAAAGCTTCCTCTATTAAGGATAGGTTTCATAATCTAGTTAAAGAATTTGAGGCTGTGATGACTGATTTACATTTTTCTTTGGCTGTTGCAAATGAAGAGCAAAGAAGGCTTGACCAAGAAAGTCTTAATGAGGATATTGAACAAATGAAACATGCATGTATTTAAAAAAGATTTTCGATTTCTTCTTTAAATCCTTTTCTTTTTTAAAAAAAAAATTTTGAAATTAACACACGTTACGATTTATAGTTCTTATCTGAAATTCATGGGGGTATCATTGAAAATAATGATACAATGAACACGGTTCTTCAAGAAGTAAAAATTATGAAAGATAAAATAGATCAATTCACTGAACAAAAACGACCTGATTTGCCAATATACGAAACGCTGAAAGCAACAACTATTGATACAAGCGAAATTAAAGACCCTTTAATCGTAAATAATAATAATCGTCGTGGTAAAAAAGAACCTTTTATTTATAAGAAATATTACAAAACTATGGACGTTGCTTGTATACCAAGGTCAATTCCCGAAGATGAAACTCATCAGGCAAAAAAAATACAAGCTCAATTAGCCATACTTGGGAAATTAAAAGATTCCCCTAATATATTGAAATTTTTCGGGATTTCTCATCTTGAAAATCAAATGGTGATGGTAGTAGAATGGGCGGAATTGGGAAGTTTAAGGGAAGTATATAATAGGTGTGATATCGCTTGGCCGGCAAAGGTGAATACATTTATTTTTCGTTGTAATAATGATTATTTCAATGCTTACACTAATAAGAAAAGAAATATTAATAATAAAATTTATTGTATAAAAAAAAAAATAGGTTCAGATTGCACTAGATATTTGCCGTGGAATAACATTTTTGCACACGTGTGCAATTCTTCATCATGACATTCGATGTGCAAACATAATGATGACATTACGGTTGGAACCAAAAATTACAGGGTTTGAGTACGCTCGTTTAACAACATCGGCCACGACAAGCATGTCCGAATTAACAGATGTTGTTCATTGGTTAGCCCCTGAAAAATTAAAATTCGCTAAAGAACAGCCGTATAATACTAAATGTGAAATCTTCAGGTATGTCAATAAAAATTACTAAAGTATATCCTCTATGATTGATAATATAATAATAATAATAATAATAATAGCTTTGGGATGTTATTGTGGGAACTTGCATTTGAGAAAATCCCTTATGAAAATTGGAATATGGAAAAAATCAAAGATTGGGTTTTATCTGGAAAAAGGGAAAAACTTAGATTTGGTAGAGATAAACCTGAGATTGAAGAGCTACAGCAAGAATATAAGAAAATAATAGTGGCTGGTAAATTTTTTTTTTTTTTGGATATTTTTAATTTTATTGTTACTTTAAAAAAAAATTTTTAATTTAAAATTTTTTTTTATTTTTATTTTATAAGCTTGGCAAGAGGATCCACAAATAAGAGCATCACTTCAATATTTATTTCTGGAATTAAATAGGTTGGCTCATAAATATTATGATCCTAGGAATACTTCACCAACTCTTAAACCAGATAAATCAATAGATCTTGATGGGACATTACATCAAGTATCGGTAAGTGATAGTAAAGGAGAGGACCTACCAGACTTTGGGGATGAATTTTGTCTCGATTCATTAGAATCATTACCAGAAATTCGTTCGTTAGAAGAGGGCATTTCAGCACATAAAAAGAAGGAAACCAAAAAGGCGTGGGAGATATTTTGTGAACATGCAAACTTGGGAAATACAAGGGCAAAATATTGGAAAGGGTATTATTTATGGGAAGGTTATGCGGGTGAAAGGGATCGTAAACAGGCTTCCAAGTTATTTAAAGATGCTGCCGATGATGGATTGGCTGATGCCCAATTGCGTTATGCTTTTAGTTTAGTTGGTAATCAAGGTTCTAAATTTGATAGAAAACTTTTTATCGAATATTTAACTAAAGCTGCTGATAATAATAATTCTACTGCTCAATTTAACCTTGGTGACTTATATTTAAATGGTAAACTTGGTATACAAAGGAATATTGACTTAGGTAAAAAATATTTAAGATTAGCTGCTTTAACAAATCAACCTAAAGCCATCGAAATTTTACAAAAATTGGGTATAAATATCTATAACGATAACAAGGTATAAATAACTTGAGTATTTATTTTAGATGCGGAAACCAACTTTTATTTATTAATTTCACAATCCTTTATATTTCATTTTTGTATTTTATACATTTAAATATTTTAACCATAAATTTATAAATTTAAATAAATTTTTGATATTTATTGTTTATAGTTCAAATAGAGAGAAGATTCTTTTGTGTGAGATGAGTTGTTTAGTCCTAAGTGGAGCTAATAAGTGAACAACATTATATCCATTATATGAGAACCAATATACAGTTGTATTTTGCATTTGTAGTTAGCTAAATTAGAAAAGCTGTGAGCTACTATATTATAAAATTTCCATTTTATAATTATGATATATTATATTTATAATTACTATTGATTATATTATTAAAATCAAATATATAATTATATGAAACCTTTATATAGAAAAAAACTGCTATAAGAATTAAATTTAGTTTTATATATTAAATATAATGTTTAGATTACTTTATAATATAAAGAAAAGAAAATGCTAAGAAAAAACAAAAATAAAAAAAATAAGTTAATATTAAATCTAAATGTATTTTAACCTAAAAAAATCATATTTTCTAATATTTTTACCTTTTATTACAAAGTTATTATATATTTAAATCCAAAAATAATTTTTATGTTTAAGAATTAATTTAAATGATATATTAGAAATTGTTAAGTAAATTTTAACTTTCTTGATAAATTTGGAAATTCTGCTTTATGTAACTATATATTAAATTAAAAAATTAAATTGATTTATTATATAATTAAATATAATACTACTATATAACTTTAAATTTTATCTTTTAAAATATTAAAACATTAGCATTAAGAATTAATGCATTGTTTTAATATATATCTAATTCATCACTTTTAATTAGTTTCCTTTTTTAAATATATGTGTTATTAATATATTTAATTTGAATTAATAGATTGATTATTATTTTCTTGAAATTTTAAATATATTATCATTTCATAAAATTTTTAATTTGTTATTTATATATTTTGATGTATTTAGATACAAATTCATTATCTATATAATAATTTAATTTAAATCTTAGATCTATAATTATTTAATAAATAAAATAAAATTATTAATATTAATATTTATAATAAAATAAATTAGATAAATGTATACATAATTGTTAAAATTATATAAACTAACTATTAGATATTGAATAATCTTACTTTAATTTAATTTTATATTATTAGCAGCATTAATAATTTTATTTGATTAAGCTATATTAATAAATAATTATAAATTAGAATTATTTTAGTTAAGTATTAGTTACTTGTTTCACTTATTTTGAAAATAATTAAATATATATTTTAAATAAATAATTATTTATCATATCTTTAATAAATTTTTAATTTCCTTAATTTTTATTTTATTTATTATTAGATAATAATAATTCTATTAATTTCTCATTTATTAATACTATTACTATTTAATAACTAATAAAAAATATTATTAAAATAAAATATAAATAAATTAATTATAATTTATAAATTTATTTCACATAATATTAATATTCTTTCCATTATATTATAAGTTGAATTTTAACATATTTTAGTATCTAAAATTAATTAAAGACTTCTAATGTTTAAAGTAATACATTAACAATTAAGTTTTTATATTTTTGAGTAATATACAATTTTAACTACTAAATTTCTTAACTAAAATTATAGTAATATTATTAATAATTAATATAAATTAAAATAAAAAAAAATAATCTTGATTGATTTTACAATTTTTAATATATTTTTTTTTTTCTAATCTAATTCTTTTTAATATTAAAAGAATATTTTATGTAACTAAATTAATAATTTAGATTAAACATCGTATATGTTAGTTTTTAGAATTAAAAATTATATTATTTAAAAATAACTTTCTAAATTAGTAAATGAAATACTCATATTATATATATCATTAAATATTATTATTTTATGATACTAATAACTGAAAATTAGTATTTATGCAAGATTAACAAAGAATTTAGCTTTAATCAATATCTTAGAAAAAACTTTAAAGATTATTTAAATAACTGTTAATTTTAAATAGATAATATATAATTTAAAATGAATAATTAGGATTTTTATTAGAAAAAAAAATTTGTTATAATTATATTTATTTATATATAATATATTTTAGTATTTATTTTATTTATAAAAAATCTAAATTGAATTCTTCAAACTATTTGAGTTCTATATAATTATCTGGAAAATAATTTATTATTAACTAAATCTAAAGCTATCCTATTTATACTAAATTTGCTAATCTAAATAATTAAAATAATAATTGATTAATAATAAAAATAATTAATAATATAAGTTAATTAATAATATAAAAGAAAATTTTAGCATATTTTAGATTTTTGGTATAATCTTTATTTAATTTATTTTCTTTATTTTCTCTATTTTGTCATATAACATAATATAATATAATATAACTTTTAATTATTAATATTATATTATAAAAGATACTAGTCTAATTTAATATGACAAGTATCATTTATTTTTTGCTTTTTCTTTTCAATTTTTAATATTTTTTACTATTTTATTAATTTCTTTTATTCATTTTCCCTAAAATTTTTTTTTTTTTTAATTTTTTTTAATTATTTTTTTATTTAATAGTCTTTTATTTTTTAAATTTTATGATAAACAGCCCTATTTGTATTTTTAAAAGAAAATAAATTCCATACGAAAAAAAAAATACTTTAAGATTTATCATTTAATTTCAAAATAATATAAATTATCTTAATAATATAAGAGTAAAAATATGATACAAGTAAAGTTAATAAAGTTTTAATAGATCTTAATTGGTCTTTAAAGATTTAAAAAATTTTTTATTTATATATTATTAATTAGATTTTTTAACAATAATTTTATTTATTTATTAATTAAAATAAATAAATTTATTTATTAATTTAATATAAAAAACTATTTAAAAATTAGAAATTTATTTAATTTAGGATTTGATTTTAGGACTTAAGTTCTAATTTAATATTTTTTTTAAAAATTTAAATTTTAAAAAAAATTTCAATTTATTTTAATAAGTAATTTTGATTAAAAAATTATTATAAAATTATTATTTAAAAAAAAATTAATCTTTAAAATTAATAATTTTTTTAAAATTATTCAAGACCAATTAAGATCTATTAGGATTTTTTTAATCCTAAATACAAGAGAATTTTATAATACTTATATACAATTTTTTTAAAAACTATTTAGAAGATTTAATTAAAAAAGATTTCATATAAATGAAGTCTATCTTGCAATAATCCTAGGCAGATTGATAAGTAAATATTAATTACTTAATATCTTCATTAATAAACTATTTAAAATAAATATTTCAAATAATTTAGATTAGTGATAATAATGTTAATAAATATAATAATGACAATATTAATAATCATAATAATAATAATGTTAATGATTATAATAATGATGATGTTAATAATCATGATAATAGTTATATTGATGATGATTGTGATAAATATATTTATAAAGTTAAATTATTTATTTATTTAAAAATTTTTCTGAAGTATTGCTTATTTTTGAAAACTATATAAAACAGATATTACTTACTTTCAGAGGGTTACTTTTTTCAGAAGAATATAATATACTAATCAAGAACATAAAAATTTTATAAACTGAATTTGACAAATCATAAAAAACTTTCAGATATTAGAGAAAAAGTTAAATAGATAATGATTACTAAAGAAATATAAATAAAATACAACACATGATAAATATCTGACTAAATAATATCATTTAATATAAAATAAAAATTTTATACTTTGATACTATATGAATCAATTAGTTTTAGAAAAATTAAAGTTAAATAAAAAGGATTTTACTAAATTCATTAAAGTTTTTAGAAAATTTAATAAATAAAATAAATATTACTATAGAGATATTATTTAATTAGAACTGTTACAATATGAATATTAAAACTTACTTCTATTAAAGTACAGATAATGTTAGAATAAAATAAGAATTTTTAACACTTTAATTAATAATATCATACTAAAAGATATCGTATAAGAATATTAATTTATATATATTATATAGACAAATTCTTAAATATTTTAGAAGAAGTAAATTATAAATAAGTTAAATTATTGATAATATCTTATCAATGAGAAATAGGAATAATATCTATATACTATTCACTAAAATTGAAATTAAATAATTCCTACAATATTAACAGTAATTCAAATTTAAAAGACCTTAAAGTATAAATTTAAGACTTAATTTCAAAGAAAAATTCTTTTTCACTATAATATTTAAAATTTAAATTAAAGGAAAATTGTTAGCATTAAAAATAGCTAATACTATAAATATAAAAAATATTATATAAGAATTATCAAATAATAATGATCAATAATTACTAGGATAAAAAAATAGAAAAATATTAAGAATTTATATGATTTATCTGATTTATAGTTGTTACCTATACCTTATACTATAGAATCTCATTCTATCCTAAATCTTATACTATATTTAAAATCCCAAATCCCAATCCCAATTCTCAAATCCCATTAAATTTATAATATATTTTTAAGTATATCTTAATCAATATTTCACTTAAAAGAATAAAGTAATAATTATTTGAATCTGCAAAGATGAAGCTAATGAACTAAATATAATTAAATTATAATCATTAATTATGATGATATTGTTTGTTAAAGTTTAAGTTTAAAGAATGGGATTTTGGATGGGATAGGATTAGGACTTTATCCTATACTCATATAGTATGGGTAACAAGTATAATCTGATTGATCAAATTTATTAGATCTTTCTGATATTGCAAATTTTATTTATATTTATAATAATTAATAATTTTCCATTTTTAAATGTTTTGTTTATTTTTATTATTTTTTTTATTTTTATTATCATTATAATTTATCTTATATTTATATCTTTATTTTATTTTATTTTATTATTATATTATAGTCAAAATTTATAAAAATAGTTAGTTTATATATAATAAAATAGTTAGCTATAGCAAATTAATTTTATATAAATATAATAGCTTTTAAAGTTTTAATATTATAAATAAAGAAATCAATTTAAAATCACATAAATTATGTTTTCTTTTAATATTATCCCTCATCTAAGATTTGTTATAATATTCTATACTAATTTATTTTTGAGTTTATTATTATGAGTTTAACTAAATAATCTTAAATTTTAAAATATTAAGTTAATCTAAATATAACGA